ACAATCGTATGGGCGATGCTCAGGAAGAATATCTGCATTCTTTTTCTCAAAAACGTCTTGATAATCCTGATATTGACTTGGAATGCCACTTGAAGTCTTTACGCTTTCAGAAATAGGTGCAGCATAAATAGCAAAAGTTGATCCTTCTTTTGCTGCGTGTATAAATGCTTTTGCACCTATAAGTGCGGGTTTTACTATACTAGACTCATGGTTTTTTACTTGATTAATAGAACTGTTACTAATGCTCCGAGGAAAATCAAGTTTACGAGAAATCCAATCTATTCGAGGATTATACTTTTCTAACCATGATAAGCCTAAAATTACTGGATTAGAGGGAGATCTAATTATATTAAAAATTACGCAACTACTATGACCATTTATTACTACATCTACAGGAAGTGTTTCGTGAGTTACATCTCCAGAAGACAACGGACGACCATTTATAACTTCTACGTGTACAGGTTTAGTTTTTTGTATTAATGATATTCTATGACATCTAGCAAATTCTTCATCTAAAAAACAAGCTGAGGCTCCTGAATCTATCAAGGCAGAGGCTTTGTAATTATTAGGTCCTAAACGCACATCTATTATAAAACAAGGAGATGGTTCTGAGGAGAGGATAGGACCTTCATTAGAAGTTGTACAAGATTCCAGCCGCACGGTCCCTATTGTAGCTGGACGTACTCGTTTTCCGACATACTGTCTTCTTTCACAGTCGTACTCCTCATTTTGTAGTTACGTCGCTTCTTTGGACAATGTTGAGCAGTGTGCTTAGGTTCTCCACAATATAAGCACAATCCTTCTTGTCGACGACGAGACTTTTCTTGCTCAGTAAGAGGTTTGAAACGTACCGCATCAATTTGCATATCCTCTACTTCCGAAGGTATGTGTTGAGGAGACGTCGGTGTTGCCATTGAATTGTAGTAACGTTGAGGCCCACTTGTACGACTCTCGGATCGAAATTCAAAAAGTCGATTGTCGCACTTCACAGCAAAGTCAATTGCTTGACTCAATGTTTGAGGATCAGGTAAATTAAGCATCAATTTCTTTACCTCATATTGTAATCCGTAGAGAAATTGACTCACAAGTGCGGCATCATCCCACTTGATATCAGTTGCAAGTTGTCGAAATTGCGAAGCATATAATGTTACTGATCGATTGCCTTGTCGCAAAATACGGATCTTGTTGGTTGCAACACGAATTGCATCATGTTCTCCAAACATGGATCGAAACTCCGCCAAAAAAGCCTCCAGATTATCCAATATTGGATCTCGTCGTTCAAGAAAAGATGAAAACCATGACAATGCTGAACCTGAAAGAAGTGTACCAATGAATCTAACTTGTGACCCTGGAGTTGGATAGCTCTGGGGTTGAAGTTCAATTACTAGTTGGACCTGATTGATGAATCCTCGAAACTTGGATCTGGTACCATCAAACTTCTCGGGCAAGGCAACTCTCGGTTCTCTAACACTCGAAGGGTGTTCCATTCTGGGAGAAGGGACATGGTTTGGTGTAGATGTTGAAGCAGCCCCAATCATCTCTATATCTTCACTTCCTACCATTCTTGTTGCTCCTTGTGGTGGTAAATTGAGTTGATGCATCGCAAGCATTAACTCCCTCAATTGCTCTTGCATCTGTGCCATTGCACTCTTCATTTCAACAAGCTCTGCCATAGTAGCACTTAGAAAAGAGAAGATGTCTAATAACGCTCAAAACAAATAGAAGAGAGGAATTGATAACAAAGAAAATACTAAGAACAATATCAGTTTAAAAGAGGGTAATCCGCAACTTCTAATGCGCTTATGTCTTATCAAGAAAAAGGGGTAATCCACTCTTAATCAAGAAAAGACAAAGCTCTGATATTGTAAGTGTACTCTTGTCAATCTGTCAAGGACAAGAACTCGATGAAAGCTAAAGAGTAAGTGAGACTTTTCTCAAAAAGAAATAGGACAAAATAGAAATATGTATATTAAGAAAGAAACTGGAATGGCTATTGCCAAAATACAAGAAAACTAGAGACCCTTGAAACTAGACTAGAAGCAAGAAAGGAGTTGACAAGAGTGAAGAGGGCTTCACTCTTGCCTCTATATATACTATCTAACTAAAAGCCACGTGGCGATGTTCTATAAGACCTCCAATATATGTTGACTTTCTAGGCCACATGCCTTTGCTTGCAAGGCAAGTTTTCTATGGATGGACCACGTAGTTAGCTTGTTCTTTAAGCTTCCAACATGTGTGGCACATGGCTAACTTGTTGACCAAGTTTCTAACCTAAAAGTCAACTATAGACTCCTATAAAGTCAAAGCAGCGTCTATGAAGCTTCTAAGAAGCTTCTCTAGAAGATATTACACAATTAACCTACTTTTATCTACTTTTACATACTTTTATCTATTCATATAGGTAATTATATGTATGTCCGTGACAAAATCTCAAATATGATATGTATTTTTAAGACATGGAGCTGCAATATTATGGAAATCAATGAAACAAATAATAACTACTACTTCATCAAACTATGAAGAAATTATTGCCTTACATAAAGCATCTCAAGAATGTATTTGGTTGCGATCAATTGATAAATTCATTCAAACAACCTATGGATTTTCATATGATGATTCTCTAATTATCTTGCATGAAAACAATAGTACTTGTATTACACAAATACAAGTTGGTTTCATTAAAGACGATAGGACAAAACATATTGATTGAAAGTATTTTAGTTATATCCATGACTTGATTATTGATCAAGCACTTATAATTAAGAAAATTGAATCTGCAAATAATCTTGCTGATCTCTTCACCAAAGCTCTCCCATTCTGCAACCATCGTCGACTTACTTATGGCATTGATATGCAATGACTTACTTTTCTTGAATAAGAAAGTTAATGAATTCTTTAAATAATTAAAGAAAATAATGTTGTACTCTTTTTCTTTCATCTATGATTTTATTCTTAAATATAATAAGGTTTTTCTAGATAAGGTTTTAATGAAGCAATAATTGTTGATCTTGCAAGATTACATTAAAATATACATCATAATTTTGTATAAATTTTATATTATATAAATATTATGATGAGTGAAGAGGAGTGTTGAGAACATTAAATATAGCTAGTGCTCTCCATGATATTTACTGTAGTCTACAATAAATACTATAGCTACAATATTTGGAATGTAGTAGAGAAGAACTGTTTTATCCTCTCTCCTTCTCTTCTTGTATACGAGACACAACCAGATCAATAGATTTTTGTAAATGAAGTTCTCTCTCCGTAGAAACCCTCTTGTGTGTATTACTTACTATTACTCTTGTGTGTGTGTGCATTACTTACTACTACTCTTGTGTCTTTCTAAACATTCTCAACAGCAATAAGCACCTGTTCAACATTCCTGATTTCATTTGGGACCCTAAACCAGATCAAGAGATTTCATAAAGATCACGAAAGTGAGGATATGACACCAAAGCTCGAGGACTAGTATTGGGAGGTCCAGCTTCCAAACATCTCGCAACCAGAGGGCCCTAGATCAAAGAAAAAGACACCATCGTGTGGCACCACTAGATCGAATTCGACAACAGGAAGAATATCAAACAAGTGCCTGAGACAAAGCCACAGCGACTTCAGACGTCATCATTCCCGTTCTTCTCCTGGTAGAATGTGGACGAGAATCGCTGCACCCCGCCATTCCTCGTTAATACATCAAGATGCGAGTTTCTGATTCCGCAAGGATCCCCCACTAGTCTCATTTTCAATAGGCAACCCGTGCCCGAAGTCTGCGAAATTGAAAGCCATTTCAGCGACCGATTTGTGGACATCGCACTCTTACTGCCGTTGTGCGGCGACCTCACTCGCAGACTTCACCTCCTCGTTGGTAGGGTTCGAATTCACGCTTTCCTAATAGGTAAATTGAACTTAATGCACACTAATGTAAAGGGTTGTGAGCCAAAGCTGACGACGTGGTCAAGTATTGACCTGGGGATGCAGAATCAGGTTATGTTGCCATTGGGTGGATGTATCTGTGAATCTGTTTGTTAATTATTTCAAAATTCAGAAACTTTACATAACTACACGTCTACATATGTTTTTTTCTAGAAGTTAATAATTTTTACGATGTTTTAGCAAAGATAAAATTACTGTAAAACCTTTAGAATAGATCAAAAAAGGAAAATAACAATCAATCATATTAAATATTATTCAACTGCTGAAAATATAATTTTATCTAGGAATGGAATCTTATCAATGTAGAACAATCTTGATGTAACATTATTCCAATTCACACCTTAAATGCATTTGGTGATTTCATATTTTTTCTCACTATCTGTAATAATGACATTCTGTCTTTTATCTACTCCATAACTATCATTATTGTAATGAAAACATGGTGGAAATAAGAGTTTACCAACATGATGTACGCTTAAAAAATACTATGTGAATCCAAGTTTCTGATCAAGCCCTAATGTTTAAAAGATATCAACAAATATTTGAAGAGGGGAATGAATACATTAAGAATTTTTAAAATAAAGAATTTGCATGCCCTTCTCCTTTTCGAATGAATTGAATCTTTATCAACATTTATTGGGTACTATACAGCTTCATAAAATTAATGATCTATGTGCAGCCACTGCATGACTGCCAAATAAGATTTTTCCAAAAAAATTAAAAATTAAAAAATTTGTTCATGAATCAACTTGCTACTTCTCCCAAAAAACTTCTGTTAAGAACACATATTCCCTATTCACTCGATACATTGTAACTACTTTCTGCGCAGCATTTATTGATTATTTATTTATTTATTTCATGTGTACATGCTCTTGTTTTTGTGCTCCGTTGATGCGATACCGGTAAGTAACTTGATTGACTTTCGAAGGGAGGTCTGAAATAGCAAGAGGAGCGTTGGTCTAATACTCTAACTTGCAAGGAAGTCTGCCAAAACTTAGAATTTACACTGCTTCACCTTGAAATAATACGGCTAGTATTGACAAGGTAAGATAACTTGCGTGACATAATTGACATTTTTGAAGATTACTTGAATGTAATTTATATGGTAGTCACTGGTACATCCAAAATTCAAATGTTAGGGACTATCTAGCATACACAAATCACACATATGGCGTCTGCAGGCTCGGCGCAAGAACTTTTTCATGGGCGATATTTGCTGATTAGAAATGAGCCATTCCCCACCGAGAAGGATGTCAAACTCTTGCTATTTCATACCTATTTCAAGCGGCAATTTCTTCACTTTGAAAATAAAAAACTGAACAAGAATATAGTGAGCTTGACTGACGGCGCTCGGGTAATCCATTTTTCAAGCTCTCATGCGGCTAAATTTTCCCCAATGTATTGAGATTCGGATGTTAAGCGTTGAGTTCAATTGAACCCTTCCATCACTGAGCTTGAGAGAAATGAAAAAGGGCCTAACCAGAATCCGCCTGTTGTAGTTATACCTTTCAAGGTCGTACGTGACCTAGAAAGGTCTAACCTAAGACCTCCCAGTTCTCTACATTCTCAGAAAGTAGAGATCGCTCTCGATTATCCTTCAGAGATAGACAGTGTCAAGCTCACCGTCCCTATTCACCGCAGTAGTTCATAACGACCTGAACTGGACATGCACTCCACACACTACATACATAATGACGCGACGAATCCACCACCCCAGCGTGGCCTAAGCGGCAAATATTCAGATTCTCCACAGGCAAACATACAGAGAACTGCATTAAGGTCTGTCGAAGAAACCTCAGACAGAAATCTGTGAGGCATAAACAAGTTCTATAAAATTCAACGCAACTAGTAATAACGATATCAATCTCACAAGATGTGCAAAAGATCCACCAACAACATACAGCACTGTTACAGCACTTAGACTCCGTGAGGGAATCACGCACTTAGACAATACAGAGTCATGAAAGGAACGAACTAGAACAATGTAATCTCGTCGAAAAGGCATAGCCACGCCATAATCGGCGAAAAACCAGCAGCTAGGCTGAGAAAGAGATTCAATCAATGCTCTATAAAGGCAAACTTGAGAGAAGCAAACCTACACAGTACTTCCCCCTTAGGTCCTTCACTTCACATCACTCCACAGATCAGCTGCACAACACACAGACGACCATCAACAGTCACTCAACCAGCAAACGATAATACCAAATCGAGCACGGTTCAATCAAGCAAACAAACAAACGAGAAAAATAAGCAACGAAGCAGATGCAACTGGAGTGCGAAGTACGAAGGAGGGGCTCTTCGCACCAATTTGTGCTCAGTCAGAGCTACCAATTTGTTGCAATCGGGAGAGCTAAGTAAGCAAGAGAGGAAGTCGATGGAAGAAGAAGCGTCTAGACTTTTCGAAGCGAATCAGCTCTCTCTCTCTCAATAAGGATAAAAAATCTGACGGCGAAGCGGCGCCGGAGAGGGAGCAGATCCAATTCCAATTCCAATTCATTTGGCATCGCACCTGCCGCCCCTTTGAAACATTCGGCGCATCCCTTAGGGGGAGCGAGCATCCATATATTCATCCATCAATATATTTACTCATCCATCCAATAGCCTTGCATGCTTGAATTGCACCTGCCGCTGCCCCGTTGCTGGCTTTGGGCTGCCCGATTCTGCCCTGCCCGCAACGAAAGATAAAAGATAAAGGAAAAGGTGAAATCATGCGGATAAAGTAAAAGCTACATGCTGATTGAGAGGCTGCTGTTGATTGGCATCGTATATGAGGTAAATCATAAAACATCACTTGTCAGATTTTTTTTTTTTTTTTTTTTTCAATCTTGGTGTAGAGTTCTTATTGGTATATAGTTTATTATTACATGGAAATGGTGGAATGTTTATTGAATCTTTAGAAAATGCACTCACTAATTAATTTCTTTTTTTTATAATTAATTATTGTTTCCTTTCTTTCTTTCTTTTCCTATGTTTCTTTTTTCTTTTTTCTTTTTGCAATAGGTGATACAAGGGATGTTTGTAAAATTTTACAAGGGAGTCAAAATTTTAAGCAAGATTGATGTGAAGAATAAATGAAAGTTACAAGTAACATGCAATCACATACAAGTGTTTCTTATACAATTTATTTTGTACTTTTATCAAAAGTGTTTTAAGTTAAATAGATGATTGAAATAAAATTTAGAATTATATATATATATATATATATATATATATATATAGAGAGAGAGAGAGAGAGAGAGAGGTTAGATCAATTGTGAACCTTTCAATACACTTGGTCACTAAAAAAATAAAATAAAATATACAAGTATATTTTATGTATTATTAAAAATTAATATTTAAAAAAAAATTAAAAAATAAATATCAATTATAATATACTTATCAATTTACTTAAATCTTCTATAAAAATCCAATATATGATATCATTTTTTAAAAATTATAATTAAAAAAATTATAAATCTATAAAAAAAAAAATCAATTTCATTGTAAAACATGAGTGTGTGTATATAAATATTAAGAAATTAATAAGATAAAGAATATTACCATAAATTTTAATATATTATTTATTTCTATTAAAAATAGAATTAATTATATCTTAATAAAATAAAAATTCGATAGATATCATTGTAATAAACTATATTAAATATAGAATAAATTAATATAATAAATAATTGGCCAATTGGGTAATATTAGTATTATATGAAATTTATGATAAAATTAAAAAGATTATAAAATATAAGAATATTTTTTTCTATCTAAATATTTTAATTATGACTTTGTTTTTTTTTTTTTTTTTCTTATACACGACCACAACTTAATCAAAATCTATATAAAAAAATTACTAATCTATATATTTTTAAGAAAATTTGTGATATAATTAGAAAGAAATAATTTATGTACAATATGTTAATAATTTTGTTGAATAGTATTATAAGGATTGTACTACAAGCTAGGATTTGCTTAGCATATAATCAAAGTTTAACAAAGCATTATATTCCCTTCTTCTGGCTCATTTATATTTGCCACATTTGATGAATATTATTTTGTTATATGATATTAAAGCATGGAACAATAAAATCTATAGATGAATAATAAAACAAAGATAGATAATAATTAGATGAAGAATAGTCTTAGATGAAGAATTGCTATAAAGCATTCTTGTCAAACTGTCAAGGATATGAATTTCAAAGAACTAAAAGATCAATAAACTCTTGTGTATCTCAAAAAGACTAGAAAATCACTTAAAGATGATACAATATTAAATTAGAATGGCTGTTGTGAAAGATAAGAAGACTAAAAAGTTTTCAAACAACAATGAGGACTAGAAAGGCATTGACAAGTATAAAGAAAGCTTCACTCTTACTTCTATATATATTATCTAACTAAGAGCTACCTAACCATGTTCTATAGAACCTCCAACATGTGTCCAATTTACAAGACACATATCTTAACTTGCAAAGTAAGTTTCTTATATGCATAGTACATCATTAGCTTATACCATAAGCTATTCATACGTATAACACATAGCTAATTTTTTGGCCAAATTTCTAACCTATCAATCAAATATGACCATGCATAAAGTCAAATATGTATCTATGAAGCTTCTAAGAAGCTTTGCTATAAGATAATATTAAATCTATTTAAATTTGTTTTTTATCTAATACTTCTTATTTAAATAAATTTTTATGTCCATGATATTATTTCCCCTTCTTATAACAAGTTCTATGACGAATGGTCATCATATGTTAAAAAAGACCAAAATGTGGCAAATATTGTTTGTCACATACTCTACTCTTTATTTTCTTTGAAGGTGGTTGATAGATCCTCTTAAGCATTGATATTGTTTCATATCAAGGCAGAAAAACAAACATGTTATTTGATCATCATTAAGGCCTTTGTAACTCCTTTGAAATAAAACATTTGAAATATTTTTAGGAGTTGTTTCTATTTCTAATAAACTCACCAAATATTAAGAGTCTCTTCCAAGGTTGTGATATTAAATATATTGTATCTTGCCATCTATTCAAAAAAAAACATGTTATTCTTCAAGACCTTCATTTCTATTCCATCGTCTTGAAGGCTATGACAATTGCAATGTCTTATTTAATAAGTCAACAAAAGATAGCTTTTGAATTGAATTTTCTAGTTCTTAATTCTCCATTTCTTTAATGCCACAAATACACAGAAACTACAAACAAGGATAGAAGGTCGAATGCAATCTTTTCTAAATTATAATTCTTTTATAGCAAAGATTTGCTATCCTTTATCTTGATTTTGATAGATGTAATTAATAATAAGTATCAACCTTCTTTGTTTTATTTATAAGATTCTTGAGTGGCTTCCATGTATGTTTACTAATATCATATCCGCTCCAATGAATAAGCTGTTTCAATCTATTTCAAAGGTATATTGAGTGTAAGACTTCTTTTACCTCATATTTTTTATTATTATCCACTTCTATAAGGAGAAGTAGCATTTTTCATCTTTTTGATATATCTATTATCTTACATGGCTCAAGAAGAGAAATATGGAATATGAAATAAATCTTTATAGACTCCAATAGGTACAAATGATAAGCGATTGGATTAATTTATTCACATATAAAAAATAGTCTAAATCTATGATAATCCAACTTGTCACAAAGGTGATTAGTCTTGATATTATGATGAAGTAACCATACCTTGTCACCAATATAGAATCAAAGTTATTCTTTGTAATAAGCATCCACATTGATTTTTTATTTTTCTTGAGCTTCTTTTAGTTGTACCTTTATTGTTGCATGTAGCTCTAAGAAATGTTTTGCCAAATCTTCCATTGTAGATTATCAACTTTTGAAAAGTCAAAGTATCAATTTTTAAATGCTAATCATTTCTTTAAATTGGATTTAAGCAACTATCACTATTCCTAATGTTGTTGTTATACTTTTAGTATGCATAATCTATATCTACTATATTTCTATCATTATCATACAAACAATAGATAGAAGGAAACACCAATTAAAATGTATCTTGATATTATATAGCTTTATAAAATAACAGTTGTGGTCTTTTTTTAGACTCTCTATAGACAACTATACCTTTGTAATTTGCTTTACATGATCCTTATTCATATCAAAAACTTAAACTTCCATATAATATCTTCCATACATTCCATACTTTACAACATCATCTTACTCCTTGCAATACTTACTCGCTTACAAGTACTTCCTATGCTACTTGTTCCTACATTATAAAGGATTGTTGCAACCTCCTACATATAAATGCTACAATTAATCAAAATTCATAATGTGCAAGCAATCCTATGCAAATGTCCTACAAGTGGGTTCATGTGTACTACTTGCTCCATATCATCTTTGATATGCCTTGCTCTGCTCAAACATCAATTGACCACGTGGCCACACAAGTAGTTTATATTATAGCATTTTTTTATAAAAATTTTTGTAAAGATTTTTAGACCTTGTTGATTATTTTTACAATTATGATCTAAATATATTATAGTTTCCAATAATCTATGTTGATTGTTTGAAGAGGGAGGTTGGGACAAGGGTCAGAGGATAAAGGATACAATGTTGATTATATTGGATGGATCAAATTAACAAATGGTAGAATTAATTTAATATTCTTATATATATATATATATATATATATATAATTTTTAAAAATTATATTCATACATGTATGTATATATAAATAAATAATTATATATATATATATATATATAAAGAAATATGAAATAGATTCACTTAAAACTTAAATCAACCCACTTATCTTTGCTTTGTTTCCATATTGCCTAAGGCTATGCATACCTTCACCAATCCTTTAATTATACGCAAGGTAACATGTTGATTTTGCAAAAGAGTAAAAGAAGTAGAAGATGAAACTTCTAGGAAGAGTTGTAATAGAATAGCTTGCATAAAGAGCAAGAAATTTGAGTGTAAGAGATTTGTTGCAAAAGTAGGAATATGCTACAATAAGACTTTTTCAAAAAAGATGAGAGTTAAAGAGGCAATGGAGGTGAATTCTATGGAAGAAGTGGCAAGAAAGATATGGTAAGAAGAAAAGTTTCTAATACTGTTAGATGATGATAATAATTAATATTTATTTTTATTTTACAAATATTGGATCAATTTAAGATTTAGATGGATTGGTTATACATTCTTATATATATATATATATATATATAGATGGTTAAATCAATAATTTTAGATATTTTGCTTCATTTTTTTCAAAATGTTATTTTAAATCCTTAAAAAAATAAATAAATTGTCTCAAAAAGACATATATATTATTATGAATTTGTGTATTTAATATACGTTTTTTTTAAATCTCAAATTTTCAAAATCTTATCAGCATTTTGTACTTGAAATTTACAAAATTCCAAAAAATACAACAAATAAGTTTGAAAGATTTTTTTTAATACTCTTATTTTGTTACTCTCTGATTTGAAGAACCTCAAACAGTCATCTTAAAAACTAATTTCACAAAGAACATTAGTCAAATAATCTTTGAAATATTTGTCAGAAATTATTTTGACTTGTATTGATGTTTAGAATAAATTATATGTAATATCAAAAAATCATAAACTAAACCAATGAATTTCAAGTACTATATTAAATAGAAAGTTATATATATTTTTAAAATTTCGATTCATTTTAGTTTGAAACAGTAAAATTATAAATAAAAATTTATTAAGGTATTTTCTTTTCTTAACACTCAAGACTAAATTGAAATTGAAGAAAATAATTATTTTCAAAAAAGGAAAAAGAAAGAAAATAAAGAAAATAAAATCCTTACCTGATATTACTAGAAATGTTATTTGAACTAACATGCAATTTTTTTTTGTAAATAGGAAATGTTGTTATTCAAATCAATTTCCATACATACACAACATAATCAAATATGAAAATTTTGTGACATGAAGAGAATTAATAGCCACATTAAATTTTATACATTTATATTAAATCAAAACACTTTTAGTGTATTTTCTGTAAATAATATACATCGTATTTTGGAATAAATTTTAAGTGAAATAATCATAATGATTTAAGCTACAAGAGGTTCTTTTCAGATGTCACATGAATGTTCTTTATCATAATTCTGAGATTTAAAATTTAAAGCTTTTCAAATATATATATATATATATATATATATATACATATATCTTTTTTCATACTAATATATAATTTCTAAATTAAATGATTTATATTTGCTATATTAGTAGCTCATTGTAAACACTTTTCATCATGTAATTGAAAGTGTCATAAAGATAATTTTTACTGTAATGACCTTGTATTCAATTATTGCCACAGTAGTTTAGTCTCTTTTTAAATTAATGCATAGTTAAATCTCAAATGACATGTAAATTAAAAGGATTCACAAGGTTTGTTAATAAAGTATGAGTCTTAAAATTCAATACTAAAAGTCAAAAACACACACAAAAAGTTCAAAGCATTAAATGTGTATGGACCAAATACAACAGTCAATGATTTATATTTGAATACAAGGTCCTTACAGTAATTTATTCTAGAAGTACAAAGTCTTGATATTCCATTTCATTGAATTTAATCAAAATCTAAATATCACTTTTACAAGTTTCGAATCATTATTTTTCATACCAAAAGGATAAGCATAAAATAGCATTAAAATCTAGTAACAAGTTTGAACAAAACAAGTTTATAAGAAAACAATGTTTTCAATGAATTCAAAAACAATTCACTATTAATAATGAATAAACACATCATACACACACACACACACAAAAAAAAAAAAAAAAAACAAAACAAAACAAAACAAAACAAAAACAAAAACAAAGAAAAACAGAACAAAAACATGAAGACAATAACTCAACCATGCATCAGTCACAACCAACTCAAAATTATCGTAGTCTAGGAAATTATTCTTTTCAGAAACTAAGACTTTATACCCCAATTTTTATTTTATTAGGGGATTTAAATATAGCCTTTTTGGGAGATATTTCATCCGTGATGAGATCTCAAAATACCCCAAATATCACTTCATATTCAGATTTCAAAATATCACTTGAAATCCAAATATAAAAAGGGGCAAGTCAAATATCAAAAACCATGTCGCTCGGCTTTACTCTCTTCCCTCTTTGACTCCATACTAAGGGGTAATAAATTTTGAATCAAGGAGTAATATCAGGAGTAATAAAGTTTGAATTCTAGTTATTGGGTTTTGCAAAAGTGCCAAGTTTGAACCCCCCCCCCCCTATTAACAATATTAAGTGTTGTTAATAAGGCCAAATTCATCCATCTACTGAACAAGGGTACTTTGACCCTAAGTTTTGTTTTTTCACTATTTTCTTTAAAATAAGTAAAACTAAATGGCCACATTGCATGAGTTGCAAACACGACAAAGTGGAGGCAGGCAATGTGTGCAGAGGGTCATTTCCATTGCGCTGAATCTATCGTCTGACAAAGGTTTCGTTTTGGTGAACTGGGTGCCATGAAAAATACATGTAAATCGCTGCTTCATGGTCCACATTCCCCACCTTGCAGTTTTAAAAGCAACGGTACTTGGCGATGCTTTTGAGAGTAATGCTTGCCTTGTTAGTTTCAGGATGTGGAGGAAGTGATTCCCTGTCTGGGTCTAGTAAGACAAGCACTGTTTCATAATATTTGTTGCTTGGTTGTTTCAGTTTTTCATCTGAGCTGAGTGTGGACCTTCCGAGGGTGGTTGTTTTGGTACTCATCGTAAAGATGCGGAAATCAGAAGAAGCTTGTGGAGAACGATTTTGAAGTCACGCCATCAGAGGAAGACTTGGGATATTCCCTTCGAATTAGTTCATCTGAGTTATCACTGTGTTTTCTGCTTAGTAACAGCAGGAGGATTGATCACAGTTTCTGATTCTCAATACTGGTGTGTGTGTGCCAGTTGAAAACTTCTTCCTCATGTACACAGAATTAAAAAAGTAGCGACCTCCAAGTGTGCACCAGGAAAGACGATTATACTTTACGTGGGGAGCACAAGGTGTCCGTTCTACAATGTGTTGAAATTGCAATAGAATGCACTTGTATGACCAGAAGAATCAGAATCACTAGTCTGAAGGTGCGGTGTTCGTTGACGTCAAGTTCCACAGCGCTCGTCAGTGAGAGAAAGTGACAATAATGCAGGGCTAGATTGCTTAACCACCTGCACTCTGCTTATGTTTGCAGTTGTACTCAAACCCACGTCAGTCTCGAGGGGCGGCTTTGCTTCCATCCCACGAAATAAAGCCAAAAATAAATAAATAAATATACCCATGTGAGATTGGCTTATAAAAGCCGAATTCAAGTGGCCAGATCCTTCACGTTCTAGCTTCAGCTAAGTCCATTGTGTACAGAGCTCAAACTTGGTTTTCTACTCGATCACCTGCAATTCTGTGGTTTGAGTACTCCGTCTCCAAGAGCTTTCGAATTGATCACTTGGTTAGTGGTGTTGAATCTCCTGTCTGTCTTTCAACACCAGCTGCGCCTGAAGCTTGCAGTCGCTAATAACTTCATTTCACATTTCCCATGCATGTTTCTGAGATTGTAGTTATGATGGAACATTTGATGTAGGTATTCAGAAAATGAATCAGCAACTGGACGAGCTCATTCCTGAGAATGATCGGCCACATACTAGTGGACTCGCCGGCACCGAAGTTTTGCTCGTTGAGCAATCCGACTATGTAGGCTCTCAGAAAGTGTTGGCTATTGAAGTCTGGCAATGTTTTTGATGCTCAGCACATTGGAACTGATTCTTTCATTATTAGTTTCTGTAAAAGAGAGAAAACTGCACAAAAAGTGTGACGGGTATTTTTTGATTCAATCCGGGTGGCTGTAGGTGGTGTTGGACAATGGGATAGTTCAAGTAACGCTAACCAAGCCTGGCGGCAATGTAACCAGCATCAAATATGGGGGCATCGAAAATCTTCTGGAATATAAGAACAAGGAGACAAACAGAGGGTGAGTAATTCTTCTAATGTCAATTCTCCTTTCCTCTACTTGTACACCAAGTGAGCAAGTGTGCAGGCTTCACTGAAATCTTTTCATAGCTTTGACTGGAGAAGACACATCGTCGCAGATACTGGGATATGAACTGGAGTCATGAGAAGGGTGGACAAGATAACTTTCTAGTGTAAGCTCTCGCTAACCCAGGTATTCGTCCTGTTCATGGAATGGCCTGATATCCTGGTAACAGTGGGTGCACCGAATGGACGAGTTCTCTTTCTTGCGAAGAATCAACATCTAGTTGCCTATAATTGTTCTACCTCGTCATCTGCAGTTTCTTTGGAACCATCTACAAAGTCATTCACAAAGATGCAAATAGAGTGGAGGTTTCATTTCTACGGCCGTATGATCCCGCATATCCATCAGAATTGCCTCTCAATGTCGACAAGCGGTGATTATCTAATCTTCACACATTATTTGTTGCACACCTCACGTCTTCTGGTGCACCCACGTCGATAATAGCATCCATTCTGTCGCTGCGAGGTTCTCCCCAGTTTGCAATCCTGATTTCACTTACATTGGTGGATACAGTGAAGGTAATTATCGCAGACCTATTTGTCTCGCAGATTTGTGCTTCTGAAAGGAAGTTCGGGGTTCTACTCTTACGGCATTTATGAGCGACCCGCAGGATGGCCTGAGTTCAACCTGAACCAGACACGAATCACGTTCAAGCTCAGCAATGACAAGTATAACAGCATTGCGTTCTTATGTAGCTTGATGTATTCTCGTTCTGTCTTGATATTTACGAGGATTGAGCGTTCAATTTGGCCTGGATAAATCCCTCCCTTCCTTGCTACAGCTTCAGTCTTAATAGTAGAGGTGCTATGATCGTGAAGTACAATACTGAACTCCCAACAGGTTCCATTACATGGCCATAGCAGACGACAGACAGAGATTCATGCCTTCTCCGGAGGATTTGATGCCGGACAGGAGTCAGCAGCTTGCGTACCCCGAAGCCCACCTCCTGACGAATCCTATTGACCCTGCATTCCTCGGTGAGGTACGTTTGCTGAGAAATCCTTATTATAGCTCTACCAAAGAAGTCTTTTGTTACAACAGCTCTCCTCGTCAATCATGTAACTGTGGTCCTGCAGGTGGACGATAAGTATCAGTACTCCAAGGAGAACAAGGATCTTAAAGTGCACGGTTGGGTGAGTACCAACCCTATGGTTGGTTTCTGGATCATCTCTCCGAGCTACGAATTTCGCAATGGGGGAGTCACGAAGCAGAATTTGACTGCTCACGTCGGTCCTACATGTCTGGCTGTAAGTCCGGCAGTAGCAACCTTCAGCTCCTACAACGATACATCTCGCGCTCGCAATGACTGCTAAGAACATTCATTCATGAGACGGTTGATTGCTTTTTCAGTGTAGTGGACTTCCTCACCTGAGACTTCCGAGGCTGTTCTGCAGATGTTTCATAGCGCGCATTATGCTGGGCTCGATCTATGCCCTCATTTCCAACAAGGGGAAGCTTGGCAGAAGGTTTTTGGGCCCGTCTTCATCTACCTCAACTCAGCACCAGTCGGCACTCCTTATCCTGCTCTTTGGCAAAATGCTCAAGCTCAAGTGAGCGTACAACTTCTACCGATTGTTATGTGCTTGCAGTTCAGACAATAGGATCAGACAGAAGTAATCCTTGCCAGATTGACGGGAAGAACAACGGTTACTAGTTTGTAATGTTGTGTGACTTAGGTGACGAGGGAAATGGCAGCATGGCCATATTCCTGGCCCGCTTCAGATGCTTACCCAAAGGCAGCAGAACGTGGCACTCTTTGTGGCCGCCTCCTCGTTTCAGATCCGTAAGAACACACAATCTAATCTGCTCATTTTATTTATTCAAGCACAAAACTGTAAAACAAAAACATAACACTAAAAGGAATTTTAAGAGAAATTTTCCATAAATTGCAGACAAAATGATAACTTCATATGCTGGCAGGTTGCAGTCCCCATACACTTGGGTAGGCAGGAACGCATACCTCGGATTAGCGATCCCAGGGGAGACAGGCTCATGGCAAAGTGAAAGCAAGGTAAAGAGCACATAACGGCAATTTATGGTTCTATTTCTGATTCAGACTGTAGATCAGCATATGCAGGACCTGAAAACCAAGCAGAACTTCCCCACAACTTATAAACAAGACCCTTCTGTTAACGTGTGTTGAAGTGACACTTTATCTAACAGGGCTATCAGTTCTGGACTCAAGCGGATGCTTATGGATGTTTTAGTATTAGAAACATCCGTGCTGGCTTGTATGATCTCTATGGATGGGTTCCCGGTGTAGTGGGAGACTACAAATTCGAGCGTGGTCCCATTCGCATACAACAAGGTTAGTCTCATGATACAGATCTGAGGAAAAGAGTGAAACAAACTTAAATGCTTGCAGTGTTTAACATAAAAAGGAAAATGGCGCTACTAAATAGGGGACGTGGTCAGCACACACGCTACAAAGAAGCTTGCTCAACCCTAAGTGCATGCTTCGCAGGTGGGATCATAGATATGGGTGATTTAACATACTATAGTCCTCGAAACGGGCCTACTGTGTGGGAGATTGGCGTCCCCGACCGCACAGCAGCAGGATTTTTCGTCCCCGATCCAAATCCAAAATATGTCAACAAGCTGTATCTTAACAGCAGCCAAAAGTGAGCACATTCTCTACGCTTGATCCTCAAGTTGGACCTCCGTAGCATTTCAACCAAGTCACACATTCGACTGAGACTTTGTTAGATTGTGAGACCTTAAATTCAAGCGAATGTACCTTGCAGGTGGCGGCAGTATGGCTTGTGGGAGCGATACACAGAACTGTATCCTACAAATGACTTGGTGTACACAGTCGGTCAAAGTGACTGGCGAAAGGATTGGTTCTATGCTCATCTCAATAGGTAAGAAGAATCTTTTTAATTAAATTTAAGGTTGTTTACTGGGTGGGAATCCGATTTCGATGACAGGTGTAACATGACTAGAATAATCGAAGTTCGCCAAATGAAGCATGTAATGCCAATGACAGGATCATGCCTGATGGTTCCTACGCACCTACAACCTGGGAGATTCGATTTGAGCTCTTGAAAGTGGTCCCTGACAGCCCGTATAAACTTCGTATTGCAACGGCATCTTCACATACAGCGTCCATCCAGGTAGGCAAAATTGCAAAATATTCTGATAACAATTCTTGGCTTGCAGAAAAGCTTCTCTTCTGTAGGGTACATTCCTCATATCGGTGGCATTTCGGTGAATTTGTTAAGACTTGGAGACAGATTGCAACTCAAGTTCTGTATCAGCATTTAGTTTCAAGGAACGTGGCTATTGCTCTGTTTTGGTAACCATTTTGAAACTTCATGTTTCGATGAGTTGAGGACAAAAGTGGCTTGCAGCCATGTCAATCAGCCTCCCTGGCGAATTAGTAAACTAAAGCATTGTCTTCGTTTCTAACTGTTGAACCCCATGCGTGCAGCTGTTTGTGAACAAACTTGACTACGCGAAACCTGTGTTTGACACCCTACAGTACGGGAGAGACAATGCTACAGCACGCCACGGCATCCATGGCCTTTACACGCTCTGGAACATTGACATAGAGCCAAAACTTCTGCAAGTTGGGAAAAACAGCTTCTATCTCTCACAGCGGAAAGATTACGGGCCTTTTGCAGCAGTCATGTATGATTATCTGCGGCTGGAAGCGCCTGCGAGTAGTTTTCCCGGGATCTTAGATTCAGCGAAATAAACTCCTGCTTCAGAGCAGATGCTAGTAAGATATCTTTTTGATCCAAGCCAATCTTGAATCCAGTTACTTAATTTTCAGTCTTGGACAGAAATTAAAGGAATTATAACAAACTGCAATCAATTGGTTACTGGTTCAAGTGAGGAGAGGTCTTTAAAGCTCCAGTTCGTGAGCTTCCCAACATAACTTTGCTGCGAAAACTTCTCGTCGCAACTTTCTTAATCCCCCAATGGCGCTCAGGAACGTCATTTCAAGGGCTGTGAAGGTAAGGCGTAAACTAAACCGCTTAGTAGGTCACATATCACAATCTTCTGTGATGAATTGCAAAGCAGAAGTACAGAACTGCACTGAAATCTAGTGGACTCGCGTCCCATTTACTACAAATCTATTGTGGTCGCGAGCAACATCGGCCACCAGAGACGCTACCAGCTCCAGAAAACCTCATATTGAAGCTTACTACCCCAAGCCTCATCACGTCTTGCTGGGAATTCCCACATTGTCCTCCTGACTTGGCCGAAGGTGAAAAAACAGTCGGTCTCCAAGCAGTCGATCGCATATGTGGGAACTCAATAAAAGGTCATCGTCCACAGTCAGCATGGTCGTGCTGTTGTGCCCATACAACTTCTCACGGTCAAATTCACCGCCCTCGTTGTATTCGGTTTTGTAACGACCATTCAATAGCTTTGATTGAATATAAATGCCTTGTATCTTGGTTTAGAAAGCATGACGGGCGTTTGCAATCGGGCCCAAAAAGTAGATACCAGAGCTATTGGATTGGGATATTCATCATGACAAACAAGTGCTCTTGTTAAATCCCATTTATGGACAAAAGTCAAGCAAGCTCGGCACGCTGTTCAACTCCTTGCAGCCCTTTCACACATACCAAAATCTGGAATTTGCATAAAGGAGAGCACTCGCTCGATGATAGATGTCGGAAGCTCGAGTTGCATATCTTCCCGATTCACGCACAAGTGATTTCTGTCAAGAGTTACTCTCTCTAAGTCATATGTGTCATCCATGTCAAACCACGAAATTAAAACCATTAAATGGCATCCCCACATGGACCATCTAAATGTGGCTTCCGTGAGCTCCATGCAGTCTGACGATATGATGATAGGCCCGCTTGATTTCAAACAACAATCCCACTCCGTATAGATTGCATTTCTGGTAAGCACCAGACTGTCTTTTTCCGACTAACTTCTCCTCTTAAGCCACCGAGCTTTTAGCATTCAAATACATCGACTTATGCGGTCTAACACAAGCAGCTTTACCAGGTGGAGCATTATACTTCCTTCCTTTCATTGATGACTATTTACACTACACTTCAAAACAGAATTGCAAAGCACTGGTTGAAATTTACAACAAATTAAAGATTACTGTTATACTCTGATATCTCAACATTGAAAACATTGTCAGAGCTCTCGTTTCCAGTGGAGCACATGCGGAGTACGCTTGAGAATTTCGTCTTGAAACGATGGGAGATTCTGAAGGGTAACGCGCCATTCACATACCTCTCGTTAATCGACATCAGGTTGCAGATTCCTCACGGCTTGGAGCGTTCTCACGCCCGAGGCAAGGTTCACCGCGACTTAAAATTCTCCCAACACTCTCGTGTCTCATGGGGCCCTTCGGGACCATCAATGAGGGAGACGTGGAGGTCGTGACATCGGCGGACTTCGAACCCAGTATAATGTTGAAGGAATGTGATTTAAAAACTCGTATCACCGGAAATCTACTAATGTAGAACTATAGCAACGCAGTGCGCACCTACGTTAGATTCTAGCGCCGGAATCGAGAAGCTCGAATTGAAGCCCGATGATCTTGACACAAATGTTGATAAAGGGAGATTCCTTTCAATCTACACGATTCAGAAAATCAAAGTGTGTAGGACATGTCCTATCCTATCGATGATGATTATTTGCTTAAGATGTAAGCACTCATGTCGTGCACGGATTAATATTTTTCTCTTTCAAACACCGTTAGCATCGACCGAGGTCGAAGAGATGGAATGGGAAGATTAAACCAGAAGTTGGTTCACTTCACCGTCTCAAAAGCTCCACGACTGAATCAGCACTTCACCGACCGGGAATCGGCAATTACTTGTGACACGCAAAGACGCAAAGACAACTGTTACAGTTAACAACACACATTCAAGTCCATGATTTCTGCGACATTGGACGAGGACCCTCACTTCACCCGAAATAGCCCTTAATCCTGAACCCTAATCCTGATTTTTAGGGTTTCCTCAACCCACAAGAGCTTGTTGTATTGCTTAGCAAAACAGGACATGCTAAGTTCTCAAAGGCCTCTCCAAATCCAACATTGAACTCCTAAAAGTGAGATTTTTGACTCAATGCTGACAGAGGAATTTATGGTGACTGATAACGGTTATCAGACTTTTAGAGTTTTAGGGTTTTGGGGTTGATGCGTTGGCGCTTTCCAGATGAGGATTTCGGAATCAAACCATTGTCTGGGAGATTATGTGAAGTGCGATATGTTGCTTTATCTCACGGGAAAGCCACTGATTCTGCCAATTTTGTGCGTGTATAGGAGGAATTCATGCTTATCTTCAAATGCTTTAGTGGGCACAGCAACCTGTTTTCAGTTTCATGGGGCTCATTTAGGACTGACCGCCCCGGGAATGGACCACTCCGACAATCCCCTCTTCTCTCGGCCTCATCCCTCCTGCTTCTGGCTTTGATCCAACATACCAGACTGACACCCATGACTCACGAGAATCATACTCTACTAAACAGATTCGTCATGGCTGATAACAGAAAGCTAAACTTTATTAAACGAAGGTGATACAAAGGTCACATGTTCGCATGAATTCCGCGGCTCTCACTAGCAAATACATGGCCTCCTGTCTGATTCATACCCGTAGGCACTAGCAAGCTAATAGATCACTCATCACCCGAGCTGGTGAGTCATCCCCTAAGCTCCACTCCTCCCTTACCTTGAGAATCATGCCTCATGTCGGGGATCGAGTAGTAGTCTTCAGAATCGGATCACTGCAAGTTGGTTAGGTTGCCCCAAACTCACCGTTGCATGATTAATTCGAATGACCCTCATTGCTGACGAGGTGGAAAATTTCTACTCAGAACATCACCTCCAGATGCATAGGTCATGAGTTGGAGACCCACGACCAGTGCAGAGCAAAGTCATACATCTTGAGTTTCGATCCATTGACATGTCGATCAACATTCTGCTCATCTAAAGATGCAAGCCTGTAAGTCCCATTGTCATATTTCTTGTATACCTGAAATGACCCATTCCAACGAGGCTGAAACTTTTGCCCCCTCTGCTTCATCATCCAACTGTCAATCTAGAGGACCAAGTCCTGGACTTGAAACTCTATGATTTTAGACTTTGCATTGTACATGAGTTTCTTTCTTTGTTGAGCTGTGTGATTCGAGAGCAATGCTAGTTGCCACCCTTCTTCAAGCCTTTCCAACATCAATAGCCTTGCTTTGAGATTATCTTAATCTCCAACCTGTGTGCTAGTGTTGTGCGCATGGACAAAATTTCTAGTTCTATCGATATGATGGCCTCAAACCCAAAGGCTAAATGGAATGGAGAGAATCCTGTGGTGGTTTTGTAAGCTGTTTTATACGCTCAAAGTACCTCACCAACGTGGATGTTTTACAATCTGTGTTTGTCCAATGTTACTTTTGCTATGATGTCATATATTATGTCGTTCATCCTTTCAACTAGTTTGTTGGCCTTGAAGTAGTAAAGATTGGTCTTCGTGTTTCACGGACATCTTCTGAAGTAGGCTAGAGAGAAGCCAGCTAACAAAATGTGAGTCTTTGTTGGTCACAATCTCTAGCCGGTACTTGTATCCACATACGACTTGCTGAAAAATGAAGTTGGCTGCTACCCCCTAGCTGCATTAGGATAGATAGCATGTGTAGATGTTGAATGTCTTTTCTTGAAGATGCAATGGAATCAACAAAAAAAAAAAAAAAAAAAAAAAAAACCATACTCTTTAGGTACAAGATTATGTTACCAAACTAGCATGTAGTTTCTTCATTAGGTGTAATTTCTTCTAATGAGTAGCATTCAACATCATCAAATAAGTTGCCTTTGCAACCTTTTGGTGGTTGTCCTAATTTTAAAAGGACTTGCAATTGCAAAGTGTGTTATCTCTTTACTTCCTTAATTGCCAAGTCAAACTGTTGCAAGGCTGCCAATAAACACACCATCCTACCTATGGAATAAGTTTGCATCATCAATTATTTGAATCCTTCTTGGGAGTATTGAATCTCCACAAAGAATTTGCTTGACCATAAGTTGTATTTAAACTTCATGCATGCAAACAATAGAGATATCAAGAGCTTTTTTAGATTCAATATAATCTGTCTTAATAGTCCTTAGCGCACAACTAGCATAGTATATGAGGTATTTCTTTCCACTCTTCTTGTTCTAGATGAGTATGCAAGCCACTAAATTGGTATTAGATGAGAAGTTGGCAATAAAAGTTTTAGACTTAAACTATCTTTATATTCATTGAGCCTTTGAAAAACTTGTCAAAGTTGTCTCGCATGTTTGCTCCAAGGACTATATACGCAGAAATCATCCAAATATACTTTAAGTGACTTCCCAATCAAGGAAGCAAAGATCTTGATTTATACTTATTGGAAGATTCCTTCTGTATTGCACAAGTTAAACAACATTCTTTTATAAGCAAATGTGCTTCAAGGAGGAATAAACATGGCCTTCAAAATATCCTCCTCTCTAATTTCGACTTGATGGTATCTCGTATAACCATCACAAAATGACACCATATCATGTCCCAAAACCTCATTTAGTAATTAGTCTATAAAAAAAATAGATTATCTATTTTTTTTAATCACTCATTTTAGAGCCATATAATTTAGATAGACCCTATATTTGCCACCACACTTTGGTATGATGATTACAATTGACACCTACTATGTATTAGTTATGAGAATAACAAACCTACCTTCCAAAAGTCAATTAAGCTCAAGTTTGAGAATGGCCATTTTATGTAGTGCCATTTGTTTTTGATGGCCACAAACTAACTTGGCTCCATCTTTTAATTTTATGGTATACTTCTCTAGGTTAATAGCAAGTCGATCAAAATGACAAGTGACAAATAAGGTCAAAAATTCTTTGATCA